GTGGTCAACCATGTGGGAATCCAGCACCTTAACCACCACGCCACCTACTGGCCTCAAGATTCCTTTCTACACATTTGTTCCAAGCCTCATGGAAAACATGGAGTAGTTACTCAGAGCAGCTACTTGATCCTAGACTCTTTTTTTTTCTTTCTTTCTTTTTTTTTGGAGAGATTTTCACTGTAGGGCGCATGCGCTCGCCAGACAGACAGAGAGAGACATAGAGACAGAAAGCGAGAAATCACCCCCCAGGGGGGATGGTCACGCCGCAATCCCTTCTCCTCCATTCTCCTCTCGGGATCTTGGGCACGCACGCACACGCACCCGGCGTGAGTTTTAAGCCACCGGGTCCGGGACACAAACCGCGGTTGACTACGTAGGAGTCCAGCGACATAGCCATTACGCTAACTGCTGGTTCCCTTGATCCTAGACTCTTAACCCTCACAGGAAGTGACTCATTTTCTCACTGTCTCTGCCATAATGGTGGCTGAGAGCTCTGCAAGCTGAGGGTCACCAAACTGAGTACTGAGTCAGGTCAGGACCTGGGGTGGGCCCAGAGATGGTGGTCAATGGAAGGGTTTATTCAAACATTAAGAAGAAGGCTGTGATTCCAGGAAGTGAGCTTCTGAAGGAAGGGTGGGCTGGGAGGAGGTCTCAATGTCTGGGCTGAATTTTGCACGGCAGGCTTTCCATCCCTGGGACAGTCCCCATTCTCAGAGGACACAGCACTGATTCTAGAATTTGGGCACAGCCAGAGCAGAGCCGCTTGCTATGCTTTCGGCACAAGTTATAGCTCGGCCAGAGTCAGAGCACGCCAAGAATGAAGCTTACTGTTCATGGACAGCACCTTCAGTCCTCCCCAGTGGAAAGCCAAAGGCAGCGATGAGCTGGAACGTGTTGGTAACTTACCCCTGGCTGGGGTGACCAAGGTGTAGAGACAGAGGACCAGGTGGGTGACTGCCAGTCCTCCTCTCTGCAAGTTCTTGGGAAAGTATCTAAAAGACTGGAGGTAGATTCTCAGCAAGGCTGGGATCTAAATGAATGAGGGACACTTCAGTCTGAGGCTGGGTACTCAAGTATTAATGGGAAAGCAGGAAAGGGTGATGGAGCCATCTAGAAAGGAAGAGTAGTCTGTAAAATTCCTTTCCATACCTTTGTTCTCAGCTTCATGGAAAACCTAGAACAGCTACTTGGAGTCAGAGAAAGCCAGGCATCTCCTGGGATGATCTGCTTTCCTTTCTGGCCCTCTGTGAGGCCAAACACGCAAGCCACTGAGTTGAACTTTACAAGTTACTGACTTTTTTTAACTTCAATTATTCGCTGTTGATGATTCCATTATGGGGAGGGAGAGAGGTGTAAACTCCATCTAGGGTTCTCAGAGCAGAGCATTTATCTGCTTTTATGAGGCTACAAGAGACCATAATGCATCTTTTATGGGCCCACTCTCATTTTTAATATGCTTTGATAAGATCATTCTGCTGAAAGGACATAGAAACTCACTGGCAGGCCCAGCCAAGGAAAGAAATGATGATGGGAAGGTTTTGCTTCATCAAGTGTGGCCCCTGGGCAGTTCCCTGAAGGTGGGCTCCTTAGGGCCCTGTTCAGTAAGGCATGATCTAGTCACAAACTTCTCAGATGTCCCCTCCATATGACTTCTGGGTGATAATGCTCACTAAAGAGCACAGATCTCAGTCAGTGACACATGAAATGACCTTAACCTCTCCTCAAGAGTTAACAGCAGCAGCACTTTCCAAGGAGTAGCACGTGTATGGAACAGAAGAAATGCATTTCATAGGTGTAGAAGTACACAAGGTTCCAGGCACAGACTTCTGATCCTAGCTCTTAGGGTCTAGGTTGCCTGCTCCAACCCCATCTCCCCATCCTTTAATATATCCAGTCATGTCCCACTTGGATCTTCCAACCTGTTCTCTCCTTCACTGCTCCCATCAGGAGTGGGAGCGAGTAGCATTTGCTGAGAAGCAGAGACAACTGGTCCTCACTGGACTCTGTGTGTTCCCCTCCATTGCCTGGCCTCCTTTGCAGCTAGGTTGAGGCCATAGGGCAGATCAACAGGCTAGGCATGGAAGCAGTTTGGACTGCTCAGGTGTGAAATCTTCACACTCTTGCCCTTGTACGGTATAGGCGTGAAGGCCATCAGGGTATCAGAGTTGAAAGGTAGAAGTAGTCCTGGTTCCTGAGTTGCTGTTGGAAAAGTACCTCCAAGAATTCTGCCTGATCCACATGGGACTTGGTTGAGTCACTGAGATGCTGGGATCATTTGTTCTTGCTGTCTAGTGTAGCTTAGCCTGACCCCTAAAGAGCACATTCTATGTGTTCAGCCCTACACTAGGTTCTTTTTTACAAATTATCTCAAAACAATCTTCTAAATGTCTATGCCAGTAAAATTCGGGTCTAGTGCAGTTTGGGGGTATGAAGGATTCTTACATCCTCCAAAATTTAGCTTTTCTCTATACCTTCCAGATCTTGTTGTAGAAGCACAGGTTTTAGGGACTCTGAAGTTCTGCCTGTTTTCAAGGATTCCCCTATAAACCTAGGCTCTCTCTCTGCACTTAGCAGTCATCGCCTTTTTCTCTGGACTTGAGAGTCTCTGAATGATGGAAGAGCAGCCATTCTTACTGAATTTGGTTCCCTAAAAAGTGAATGACTAGCATGCAAAATATTAACTTCTATGTCAGACAAATGTGAGTTCAAACCTTAGCATTATCACTTCATCCATTCGTTTGCTCAAGCATTCATAGCATGTAAAATGCTGCAGTTGTCCAGATGCACATCTCCAGTGTGGACTGCTGCTCTGAACTCCAGACCCAAATATTAAACACAACCAGAACTCTCAATCCCCAGAGCTTCCTCAAGGCTTCCCCCTCCAGTAAATGACCCCTCCGTAAGCCAGATGATCATGTCAGAAGTATTCTTGACTCCTTCTTCTCACCCCATAGTTGAATCATCGCCAAGTTCTATAGATTCTACCCCATACACCCTGAGAGATTTTGTATCTGTTTCTGCACCCCCAGCACTCCCCCCCTCCATTCGGATCCGAGCTCCTACTCACTCTCACCTGGCCCAGATCAATGGGCTCTTTGCTGTACTGTTTTCCCTCTCCAATCATTCTCAACCCAGCATCCAAAGGATCTGGTCAGAATCTCTTATGGACTTTGTATTGTCCTTAGGGGGAAAAAAATCCCCCAATCATATACAGCCTTCTTCCAGTCCCTAATCATGCACCATCCTGCCACTGCCTGGTATGCTCTTGCTACTGACCTGGGCTTCTTCTGTCATGCTTTCTAAACCCAAACTTCACTCTCTGAGATATGTTCCCTAAACTCCCATTTTATATTTGGTCTCCTAATAGAACTTCTAACCATATCCCATGCTTTTCCTTCACTTCGCAGTTTGCAGTAGTATATTTCCTAGTGTGATTATTTGTTTGTCATCTCTCACACCAGACCATCTGCTCCCCCGGGACAAGGCCTACACAGTGTCTGGCACATACCATGTGCTCCGTATCCACTGCCGCGTGAATGAAGGAGGATTTATCGAGTGGAGACAGACACTGCTGCTGCAACGGTGAGCAGGGGCCCCGGCTTCAGGGACCCACTAGAGTGGGCATCCACAAGAACTCTCTACTGTACGAGAAGCTCTGAGAAGTCCCTATTTACAAGATAACAAAGGGGGAGTGTGGTGGCTAGAAAAACAGTTTTTAGCCCAAGCTTCCTCCTAGGAATTCTCTAATAGTTGATAGTTATGTGGAGCTTACTATGTGCCAGGCCGGGCACTATGTATAAACAACCTCATTATATCCGCAGAGACTCTATGAGGATATTATGAGGATGTGCTCATTTTGCAAATCAGGAATCTGAGACACAGAGAGGCTAAGTGGCTCACCCATGGTCACGCAGCTACTAAGTGGCACCGCCATGATCCTTTATGTGGCATCCGTGCTCTTGGGCACTTCATGCTGGCTAGGAAGTGCTCCGTGATGGTCTCTAGAATGGGAGATGACTGCCTCTGACCTTTAGAGCCTTCTCTCACACAGACAAGTAAAATAGGAACGTGTCCCTGGGCCCTTCATAAGTTTTCTTTTTACTCATGAGAGAAAGTGAGTGTGTGGCAGAGAGAAAGAGAGAGAGAGAGAGAGAGAGATGAGTGCCTGCCACAGGGTCTGGTCACACCACACCTCTTTCCTCCGGTCCTCTAGCCCATTGGTTCTTGGGCATACAGGCCGTGCCCAGTGAGTTTTAGGAGGCCTGGGTCTGGGATTCCACCCCTTGTCACCAGACCGGAATCTGACTTCTGTTGAACAGTGCATTCCCTCTGAGCCCTGAGTCAGCCCTTAGGGACACCCTAAAATAGCCAGGACACAGCCATTCCTGGCAATGGTCAGGGAACTGAGTCTAACTGCTAATAGTCTGGGCCATCACCAAGTCACTATGTGGGACTGGAAGGGTCCTTCACTCTCAGAGCTGTTGCTGCTGCCTTCCCCATAAAAATAAGAGCTTGGACTAGTTCATTAAAACCTCTGAAGTTTATTCAGGCAGAATAAGCCAGAATTGTGAGTCTACCTAAGGAGCAATGTTAAATAAAATGCCACTTCCTCTTCCATTCATTCCAAGAAATCTACCAGAAGCACCTGTTCCTGCCCACTTAGGTACAGAGCGAGAGTGAGTGAATGAATTAGAGAGGCAGACACAGAAGAGAAGAAAGGCAAAGGATACAAAGAAAAGTGGGGAAGGGAAGAAGAGGGTGAGAGAGGACAGCATGAGCTGGGTGAACCCGGCTGCCTGCACCGTGAGCTCCCACCTCACGAGAAGCCACATCAAAGTTTGCAAACTGACTAAGTTGCCTCTCACAGTGACTACCGTCTTCAGAGGCTTTTTGACTTGCTCTGAGTCAAGAGAGAAATGAAAAGAATGATTTAAAAGCCACAAACACGCAGAGCAGAGATTGCAGATACAAAACAATGAAAGTCCTGGTCAAATTGCCGATCGGAGTATCTGTATTAGGCCGTGTTTGTAGTCTCTGCGTGTCGAGTGATGGAGAGCCCAGATTGTGGCCGGGGAAGTCGCACGACAATGGGGCCTGATGTTTTGTTTCCACTTTTCAAAGGCACTCCTTTTTTTCCTCTCGGTGATAAGGCCCAGGAAATGGTTAGTGACATGCTCGTGGGAACCTATGGAAAAGAATACACATCGTATCAATGTCACAGCCGCCAGCTCCGGAGCAGAGCTGGTGGGTGGGGGAGCTGCAGGCTCCCGGCGTGGGCTGTGGCAGTGAGATAGCATTGAGGAGGCTGCCTGGAGCCGTGCGCCCCCAGTCTGGGGACCGGGCCCCTTTATCCAGGCAGAATGGGTGGAAGGCCAGACAATGTAGCTCTATATTTGGTTTCACAACAAAGGGCCCTAGAAAGATTTGATAGTGCAGGGATGGCCGGGAAGGCGGCGCAAGAGGCAGCACAATGACAGCTTTGCAAAGGTATTTAGCCCGGCCCTTTATGCCAGGAGCAAGGCAGGGTATGGATGCTGTTGTGCTGTCTAATGGCTTTTGTCTGGGCAGGGTTCTGTTTGCTAGAGACGTCCCTAGGCAGGGCTGAGAGAGGTGCCAGGGTGCTGCTGGTGCCACTACACTTGGGGCTACCTGAAGTCACACTCTTTGACTGCCTGATCTGCTCCTCTCCTGAGCCCAGCTTCCAGCAGACCCAGAAAGCTCAGGTTAATGGCAAATGTGTGGCCTTTGCAGGGACGAAGCAACTCCAGAGGATGTCCTAAGTCGAATGGGGCAGCTCCAATTCCATTCTGGTCCAGGTATGCCAGAGGGAAATCACCCAGGAGGAGGCAGAAGCAATCGAAGTACAGTTTCAGACGGGCAGAGCAGAGGGGATTGAACGGCACTGGGTACCACACCCTGGGGTTCTGGGAGTTCCAGCCAGGGGGAAGGCAACAGGCACAGAGAGGGCAGGCCCTGTGTGGAACGCTGGCATGCACCTACATCTAGGAAAACTAGCTTCAGGATGTGGTGGGTGCAAGCAGGACTTTTCCTGTCCCAGATGCTGGTGCCTTCTGGGGAGGTGGTGTCAGGCGGGCAACTTGGTTATACCAGAGGAGTGTTCTGGACCAAGAGTGTGGGAAAGGAGGTTCCTATCCGGCAGTCACTCTGACACATTTAGGGCTTCAGTTCCTTTAGGGCCAGGGAAGCACATCAGTGATTATTTGCAACCCCAATTTTAGCTTTTTTTTTTCTAATTTGAAAATCCTTGTCTGGCTACCACCATACTGATTCCAGGAAAGGAATGTGGCAACAAGCAGGCTAAGACTGGGGCATGAAAGAGATGAAACAGTCTCTCTGTCCTGCCAAGTGACCTCATGAGTCACAAACCCATCAGACAAGACCCCTGTGGATGCCAGAGAAGCTCCTGAGCAATGCACTCTCGATTTCAGGGGAGAGGCCTGGTCTGGGAACACTGGAATCAGGGTTAACGTCGTGAACAGAACCTGGGGCAAGGGTTCTCCTGAAAAGGCCCTTTCTGCTTCCCGAGACCCATTCTTTCCAGAGGTGTTCCCCAGATGGTGCCTTCACCTGCTAAGCTGTTATCAGTGCCATCCATCCATCTCCTCACCCATACAACCTTCACTCACATCAGGAACTAGACAGAGAGAGTTTTGGGACTAGTAGGGAAGAGAGTTATCCAAACACATCATGTCTGCTACAAAAGCAAAACAAAAAGTACTTGCCATGTAGCATGGAGGAGAAAGTATCAAATTCTATCTAAGAAAACCGAAAAAGTCTTCATGGAGAGAGTGATATTTGATAAATACGTGACCTGAGCCTGTGCAATGGGCTGAGCTGTGTCCCTGACCCCTTCCCAAATGTATATGTTAATGTCCTAACTTTTGATACTTCAGGATATAACCAGATTGGGAGATGGGGGTCTTTGAAGAGAAAATTGAATTGAAATGAGGTTATGAGGGTGGGCTCTAATGCGGTAGGACTGGTGGTCTTCTGAGGAGGAAGCACATGCAAAGAGAAGACCATGTAACGTCAGAGGAGGAAGTGGTCACTTGCAATCCACGCAGAGGCCTGGAGCCCAGGTGTTCTTCTAGGCCCTTGAAGGATTCATGCTACCAGCACCTTGGTCTTGAACTTTCAGCCTCCAGAATGGTGAGAAAATAAATGTCAGTTGTTTAAGCTGCTCAGTCTGTTGCATTGACAGTTTTCACTCCAAGTGCAGTGCCCTTTGAGGGAAGGAGCTCCTCCTGAGAGTCTCCCACAGCATTTGTCACATAGGAGGTGCTCAATAAGTGATGAACTGAAGGGAACAACAGTTTTTTTAATGTTTATTTTATTTATTTTTATTTATTTATTTTAATTTGACCAGAGAGAGAGAGAGAAAGAGAAAGCAAGCTGCCTGGTCCAGGACCCGGACCACGATTGGCCATATGGGAGTCCAGCACCTGTAATCACCACGCTACCTGCCGGCCCCAACAGCAGTTCGTTTTTAACTCCAACTATATTGGCCTCAAGTGGACCATGCAAGTCTGAGAGAGAACAGCCGTGTTTCTAAACGGTGCCCAGTCTTTGATCTCAGCTTTTATCTTCTATACACAATCAGTACATTGGTTTGTAATTTTTCTATAGATACTGAGAATTAATTACACGTGAGGGCACTAAAAATTGTAGGTGGAGGAAAGCCCTTCTGCATGGAGAAATTCTTCCTCTGCTGCTCCACAGCACACAATGCCATCATCCGGGTCACATCTCCATCTGCCCTGGGGCCCATGCGCCACAGGTTTGGCACGCTCTGGGCTGAAATCCATGCACAGCCTATCCTGAGCACAGGCTTGGTGGAGGGCTGTGATAGGCACAGAGCCTGATGGTTAAAAAGGGTCTGGCAGGAGATGTGTTTCACAGGCTAGATGGACTGAACTTTGTGAATTCACTCCTGCTGACGCTGGGGAGTATTCCAGGGCTGACGGGGACAGATATGTGGATCCCCGGGATACTGTCAGGAGTTTCAGCCTCTGATTGGCAGGCTTCCAGCTACTGGGACAGCCTAGTGACAGGAAGGATGTAGAGCAATTGTCAATGTTAATGAGGGCTGGGGAATCAGCCAAGAAGCAGCGCGGTGGCATCTGCCATGACGCTCCCTATACTAACGGCTTTGGAGACAGGCATTGTGGGTCAAAGTCACTGACAGCCTCACACACATGCATACATACCAATACACAGCTCTCACCGGTTCTTGGCAGCACACATGTAGGTCAGCATGTGAAATATGCATGTGAACATGGTACCTGTATGTGTTGCACTGTGCAGGAGTCCTGGGATGGTGTGTATGCAAAACCATGCATGCACATGGGCACACGCATACACGGACATGTCTGAGCATACACTGATACACAACAAGTCGAGTTCAGTCTAGGTGATGGAAGTTATAAGAAACTTACTGCAGCGCACACAGTTCATCTTTCTGCAGGGTTCTGAATCCTCTTCAATGCCTCTGAAAGTCTTCCTGGGACCAAAAACAAATGTAAGTACTTTAACCATTCATGTTAAAACATCCTTGTCTTTGATAAAAACAGAAAGAAACCACCCTCAATTCCTTTGGAAGCTAAATGATGCCTACTAACATGTAGAATTGCCACCATTATTTATGATTTTTAAAAATAGAAAGACAATGTGATCAAGACGAACAGCAAACGGGACCAGCAGTTAGTGTAATGGCTATGTCGCTGGACTCCCATGTAGTCGACTGCGGTTCGCATCCTGGAACCAGTGGCTTAAAACTCACTCCAGGTGTGTGTGCGTGCATGCCCAAGATCCCGAGAGGAGAATGGAGGAGGAGGGATTGTGGTGTGGCCATCCCCCTGGGGGGTGATTTCTCGCTTTCTGTCTCTCTGTCTCTCTCTATTTGTCTGGTGAGCGCATGCGCCCTATAGCAAAATCCTCTCAAAAAAAAAATTAAAAAAGAAAAAGAAAAAAAGAAGAACAGTAAACCAGGAATGAGAAGATTTAGATTTTTGCCTCTCTGTTGTTGGAATACTGGTCTAGACCCAAGTACTTGTCTGGTTTGTCCTCTTGGGTCCCGAACAGAGTATACTAAGGCTATGTATAGGATCAAAAAGAAAGAATCCCATATTTGATTAGTAATGTCGGACTTAGGCTAAGAAGAAGGATAGAAGAGGAATGTTCCAGACCTATTTCCAATACGCTCTAAGTATATATCATGATTATCACTACTCAGAAATGAGAGGAACAGTATTCAGTGTACACCAGGTTACTTCTCTAAGACATGGTCAACTCAGCCCTGTGGGACCACACATGGACCTCTATCTTCATATCCTATTCCTCCAGCCTTTCTTCAGCCTTGTAACACCTCCGAGTTGTTGATGATTTGTTTGTTTGTTTTTCTGACCTGCATGACTTTCACTGAGACTGTGGTTCGAGGGAAGGAGCTCCTCCTGAGAGTCTCCCACAGCATTTGTCACATAGGAGGTGCTCAATAAGTGATGAACTGAAGGGAACAACAGTTTTTTTAATGTTTATTTTATTTATTTTTATTTATTTATTTTAATTTGACCAGAGAGAGAGAGAGAAAGAGAAAGCAAGCTGCCTGGTCCAGGACCCGGACCACGATTGGCCATATGGGAGTCCAGCACCTGTAATCACCACGCTACCTGCCGGCCCCAACAGCAGTTCGTTTTTAACTCCAACTATATTGGCCTCAAGTGGACCATGCAAGTCTGAGAGAGAACAGCCGTGTTTCTAAACGGTGCCCAGTCTTTGATCTCAGCTTTTATCTTCTATACACAATCAGTACATTGGTTTGTAATTTTTCTATAGATACTGAGAATTAATTACACGTGAGGGCACTAAAAATTGTAGGTGGAGGAAAGCCCTTCTGCATGGAGAAATTCTTCCTCTGCTGCTCCACAGCACACAATGCCATCATCCGGGTCACATCTCCATCTGCCCTGGGGCCCATGCGCCACAGGTTTGGCACGCTCTGGGCTGAAATCCATGCACAGCCTATCCTGAGCACAGGCTTGGTGGAGGGCTGTGATAGGCACAGAGCCTGATGGTTAAAAAGGGTCTGGCAGGAGATGTGTTTCACAGGCTAGATGGACTGAACTTTGTGAATTCACTCCTGCTGACGCTGGGGAGTATTCCAGGGCTGACGGGGACAGATATGTGGATCCCCGGGATACTGTCAGGAGTTTCAGCCTCTGATTGGCAGGCTTCCAGCTACTGGGACAGCCTAGTGACAGGAAGGATGTAGAGCAATTGTCAATGTTAATGAGGGCTGGGGAATCAGCCAAGAAGCAGCGCGGTGGCATCTGCCATGACACTCCCTATACTAACGGCTTTGGAGACAGGCATTGTGGGTCAAAGTCACTGACAGCCTCACACACATGCATACATACCAATACACAGCTCTCACCGGTTCTTGGCAGCACACATGTAGGTCAGCATGTGAAATATGCATGTGAACATGGTACCTGTATGTGTTGCACTGTGCAGGAGTCCTGGGATGGTGTGTATGCAAAACCATGCATGCACATGGGCACACGCATACACGGACATGTCTGAGCATACACTGATACACAACAAGTCGAGTTCAGTCTAGGTGATGGAAGTTATAAGAAACTTACTGCAGCGCACACAGTTCATCTTTCTGCAGGGTTCTGAATCCTCTTCAATGCCTCTGAAAGTCTTCCTGGGACCAAAAACAAATGTAAGTACTTTAACCATTCATGTTAAAACATCCTTGTCTTTGATAAAAACAGAAAGAAACCACCCTCAATTCCTTTGGAAGCTAAATGATGCCTACTAACATGTAGAATTGCCACCATTATTTATGATTTTTAAAAATAGAAAGACAATGTGATCAAGACGAACAGCAAACGGGACCAGCAGTTAGTGTAATGGCTATGTCGCTGGACTCCCATGTAGTCGACTGCGGTTCGCATCCTGGAACCAGTGGCTTAAAACTCACTCCAGGTGTGTGTGCGTGCATGCCCAAGATCCCGAGAGGAGAATGGAGGAGGAGGGATTGTGGTGTGGCCATCCCCCTGGGGGGTGATTTCTCGCTTTCTGTCTCTCTGTCTCTCTCTATTTGTCTGGTGAGCGCATGCGCCCTATAGCAAAATCCTCTCAAAAAAAAAATTAAAAAAGAAAAAGAAAAAAAGAAGAACAGTAAACCAGGAATGAGAAGATTTAGATTTTTGCCTCTCTGTTGTTGGAATACTGGTCTAGACCCAAGTACTTGTCTGGTTTGTCCTCTTGGGTCCCGAACAGAGTATACTAAGGCTATGTATAGGATCAAAAAGAAAGAATCCCATATTTGATTAGTAATGTCGGACTTAGGCTAAGAAGAAGGATAGAAGAGGAATGTTCCAGACCTATTTCCAATACGCTCTAAGTATATATCATGATTATCACTACTCAGAAATGAGAGGAACAGTATTCAGTGTACACCAGGTTACTTCTCTAAGACATGGTCAACTCAGCCCTGTGGGACCACACATGGACCTCTATCTTCATATCCTATTCCTCCAGCCTTTCTTCAGCCTTGTAACACCTCCGAGTTGTTGATGATTTGTTTGTTTGTTTTTCTGACCTGCATGACTTTCACTGAGACTGTGGTTCTTAGCCCATCATCTTTGTCTTTAAGTTGAAAGATGCCCCCAAGAATTCCCCAAAGCTGCATTAAGGGCCCATTCTGCAGTTAGTATGGGAAGCAGAAGGCTGCCTGGTATGCATTCTGTAACTCTATAGGGCAGTGTTTGCCTCCTGACTCTGATGACAATCCAGCCTCTAAGTACTGAGAGTAATTCAGACTGATGGCAAAGAGGGGGTGCTGAAATACTGTGACTCCCTCATTTTTTAACAACACTCATAGAAAAAGGGGGGAAAATCCACGTAAGCAATTCAGACCTAGTTCTTAAATTCTTCCTGCTGCACTATAGATCGCTTATGCTAAGAAATTCCACACACTTATTAGGTAAGTAATATTTGTATTTTTAAAGTGTGAAAACTGAGGGGAAAGGTTAAATCAGATAGTGGTGGCACAGTCTGCAGCATACTGGACTGCAGTGCTAGAAGCCCCATGGTGACTGTGGGTTCAGATTCCTGGCCTGGTTGACCTGAAGAGTGCCAAGTACCCATACCCGAGAGTCTGATGAGCTAGAGGGCTACAAGAATGGGACTGTGACATGATCAGCCCTGTCAAGAGTGCCTCTCTCACACACACAGCCTACCATGAACAAAATACATAAACTTTAAAAAAAACAAAAGAGAAAAAGTGAACTGGGGTAACCCCATACCTTAGTGGTTGATGGAGCAGCCAGATCTCATGTGGCCAATTGTGGTTCAAATCTCAAGTGGCTTGAAAAATATGCCAGGCAGGGTACAAGCAGTTAGCGTAATGGCTATGTCGCTGGACTCCCACGTAGTTGACCGTGGTTTGCGTCCTGGACCCGGTGGCTTAAAACTCATGCTGGGCACATGTGCGTGTGTGCCCAAGATCCTGAGAGGAGAATGGAAGAGAAGGGGTTGCGGCGTGACCATCCCCCCGGGGGGTGATTTCTCGCTTTCTGTCTCTCTGTCTCTGTCTGTCTGGCGAGCGCACATGCCCTATAGCAAAAACCTCTCCCCCCCCCAAAAAAAATATATATGCTAGGCACATGTGCATGCATGCCCAAATCCCAACAGGATGGAGAAATAGAGAATAAATTGCACCATGATCATGTTCCATTGGGAAGTGCATTCTCTCTGTCTCTGTGTCTGTCACTCTGGAGAGTACACTAGCCCTCTGGCAATTAAAACAAACAAACAAAAAAAAAGAAAATTGAACCTGGAATCAGTATTCAGCTTGACCTGACTCACTATGCCACCTGGGTAGAACCACTACAGGCACACAGAAGTCCCCCTTGTTTTCCATTCTCTAGCGCAGAACACACAGGCACCCTCCACAGTCATCTACAACTGAGAGAGGGCCCAGCAGCCAGGATTCTCCCTGAAGCAGTGGGTCTGTCTCTAGACAGAATAACAAAGAATCCAACAAATGAATTACAGTATAGACCACCACCACTCAGGTTCATAGAGGTCACTGGGTGCTGTATATACAGGGCAGATCCAAATAGCATTGCAAGATCTTTTTTAAAAAGAACAGATATTGACATCAAAACCCATGAAAGGTTTAGAAGGTGTGGGCTGAACCTATGCAGATTGATTGCCAGCTAAAATTAAATACATTCTCTCTAGTCTTAAATAAAACCTAGAGTCTCAATACTCACAATTGACAGCACATACATTGAACACTTCTCAGAATATGAATAACTAGAAAAATCTTATAGGGGAATAGGCAAGCCACAGGCCAACAATGTCATCTCTTGCTGACATGACTCAGATGTTGAAATGATTAGAAAAAGACTAAGGTTGCCATTACAAAAATATTCAAAGAAATCAGTATGAATATTCTTAAAATGTGTGGAAAGATTGAAACTCTCAAAAATGAAATAGAAGACAAAAATGAAAACCAATTAAATATTTCAGAACTGAAACAATACACTAACCAAAATAAAAATTTCACCAATGGCTTCAATAACGCAAAGGAAACAAGTCAGTAACTTTGAAGATAGATAAATAACAATTGCCCAATCTGAAATGTAGAATAAAAAAGAGTAAATGAATAAACATGCACAGAGCCCTAGGCACATGTGAGATGATATTGAAAGTTCTTAGATTTGTGTCATTGGTGAAGTAAGTAGAACATTTAAAATTGCTAAAGAAAGTAATTGTCAATGTAAAGTTCTACAACTAATAAAAATATCCTCTAGGAATGAAGGAGGAATAAAGCCATTTTTAGATAAAATAAAACTGAAAGAATTTGTTGTCAGCAGACTTTGGACACAAGGAAAATGATACTAGAGGAAAATTTGGAATGTCACAAATATAGAAAGAGCAACAGTAATGGTGAATACCTAACTAAATATGATAAATTATTGTCCTCCTCTTAAACTATTTAAAATATATGAAGATTTAGGGCCAGTAGATGGTGTAGAGATTACATTGCTGGACTCCCACATGGACGACTATGGTTTGAGTCCTGGATCCAGTGGCTTGAGAATCACTCCATGTGCATACGTGCCCTAGATCCCAAGATGAGAATGGAGAAGAAGGGATTGCGGTGTGATCATCCCCTCAAGGGGTGATTTCTTACTTTCCATCTCACTGTCTTCATCTCTCTTGCCAGTGAATACATGCACCCTAAGGCAAAAACTTTTAAAAATAAATAAATAAATAATAAAATGAAATATATGGATATTGAAAGCAAAACTAATGAAATTGTCTGATGGAGATTTAAATGTGTGTGTGTGTGTGTGTGTGTGTGTGTGTGTGTGTGTGTGTGTGTAAGGAACCTATATGGTGTATATGGTGGTAAGTTTTCTATATTCCACTGGAACTGAAAAATATTGATTCTAAATACACTGTGAGGAGATCAGTATGTATATTTCAATTCTTTTATAACCACTAAATAAAAATAGAATACAATATATAGTTGACAACATAATAGATAAATTAAATTTGAATGATAAAAATTGTTTTCATTTGAGAAGCCACATTTCTGGCTACAGGTTTAAATCCCAAGTTGACCGGAAATATGCTGATCATACTCACGACCAAGATCCTGACTGGATGGAGATCTGTGGGAAGGGGACAGCAGTGTGATCAGACACTATAAAAAATGTTTCCAGGGGCGAGCAGGTGGTATGGTGGTTGAGGTGCTGGACTTCCACATGGTCAACATAGTTCTAGTCCCAGATCAGGGGGCTTGCTTTCTTTCTGGTAATCTCACATGCCCTATAGCAAATTTTAAAAAATATAATAATAAATCAAAACTAAAAATAAATAAATAAATAAATAAATATTTCAAACTGTTCAAAAGAAATAGAAAGGATGACAGAGAAAATAAATAAGAGGAAGAAAGTAGAAAACAAATAATACGGTAGGCCTAAAGCCAAATATATTAAGAATTACATTAAATACAAATGGTCTAAACATAACAATTAAAATTTAGAGACTGTCGAATAGATTGAAAGAAAAGAAAAAGGCCCATTTTTACGCTACCTATGCTATCTTTAAGAAAAATCCTTCATATGTAGTAATATAGGAAGATTAAAGTAAGAAGATAGGAAAGGACATCCCATAGAAATAGCTGTAAAAGAAAGCTGGGGCCAGCTGGGGGTGTGGTGGCTAAGGCAACTGCATCTTACATGAATGACTATAAGGTTTGTGTTTGGGACCTGGTGGCTTAAAAATCACACCAGGTGCATGTGTGTGCATACCCTAAATCCTGATGGAAGGGAGAAATGGAAGGGATCACTGTATGACCATGCTTCATGGTGGGGGAGGGGGTACTTCTTCACATTCTCTCTCTCTTTCTCTCTCTCTTCCATGTGAGTGCAAGCACCCTGTGTGTGTGTGTGTAGAGGGGAGCAAGAAAGCTGGAGTGACTACTGTATTGATTTTAAAGCAAAGAAATGATAAGCAACATAAAAGAATATTATGCTATAATAAAAGAGGTAATTCAGCTAGAAGGTATAATAATCCTGTGTGTGCATCTAACAACAGAGCTTCAAAATATATGAAGCAAAAAAATGAGACAAATGGGGACCAGCAGTTGGCATAATGGCTATGTTGCTGGACTCCCAA